GCATATCTGTCCTCTACTTGAGGTCAAGACCAAAGTAGGTTGATTCAAGGAAACAAATTTATGTTCCCACTTTGAATAAAACTACCTTTATTCTTTTTTTGTTTTGTTTTTTTGAGATAGAGTCTCGCTCTGTCGCCAGGTGCCAGGCTGGAGTGCAGTGGCACAATCTCGGCTCACTGCAACCTCTGCCTCCTGGGTTCAAGCAATTCTCCTGCCTCAGCCTCCCAAGGCTGGGGCTACAGGCACTCGCCATCATGCCCAGCTAATTTTTTTTTTTGTTTTGCATTTTTAGTAGAGACAGGGTTTCACCATGTTGGCCAGGATGGTCTCGATCTCTTGACCTTGTGTTCTGCCCACCTCAGCCTCCCAAAGTGCTGGGATTACAGGCATGAGCCACCACGCCCAGCAAAACTTTATTCTTAAGTTTAGATTTATATTTATTTGACTACAACTGAGGTTAAATGTTTTTCACATTTTTTGGTCGACTATATTTTTTCTGTTTTCATGCCTCTTTAGGATCTTTGCTTAATTTTTTACCTGTATGTTTATCTTTTCTTATTTTAGATTTCCAAGATCCCTCAATAACCAGCATATAAACTCTTTTTTATATATTTTGTGAAATTTTTTACATTCTCATTTTCCTTTCCATTTTTGTTTATGGTTCAGTGGTTCTTATTTTTCAAATTGTGGCAGTCTGATCTAGACCATTTAGTTATTCATATTTGAACTTGCTCAAAAAACTTAAGGTAGCTTATAAGTATGCATTCAAAATAATGGTAAGATTAATTAAAACCAGACAAGAAAAATTAGACACAGAAGATATGGTAGAAAAGTAAGATGGAACCAGGAGTTGGGTCCTTTTTATTTTCTTTTAATTTTTTAAACGTGCCGTTCATCCTTTGCATTCACTGGGAGTCAGCCATAGATTGCCTGTATGCTTTCCTGGGGGCACGTGCTACAATATAGTGCTTTACAAGATCAACAGCATTCTAAGGGAAAAACGGACCACCTACTTAGGAGATGCATTGGTATTACTGATCCTGGTACTCATTCCAGAAAATAATTTTTCTTGTGAATCCTTATAGTAACATTCCATAAAAAAAAATCTTCAGTAGCAGCCCACAGAGAAATAAAACACATCACTTCCAGGACTGTAGACTTACTTTTAAAGGATTTGTCATTTATTTTATTTTTGTAAAGCAATACCCATTTCTGATTAATTAGTCTAAAACAATTTGGGAGACATGTAGCAAGGGAGGGATATCAAGGAAAGGAATATTTATATTGACCTTAAAAAGAGTTTAATTTTTATCTGAGGAAAAACAGTTTAATGTGGTTTCTTTGCCTTAGAAAAATTTTACTGGTTAAAAATATTTTTCAAATATATTTTGGGTTGTATGGAAAAACACACCAAAATGGCTATTTTTCAACACTTCAAAGGCTGATTCTTGGAACTGCTTGAAGTGAGTTGGTTGATGAATCTTGACATTGCATCCAGAATGAACACAATATACAAGTAGTGCTTCAGCAATTCAGGTAACCACAAGTACATAGTTCTGCTTGAGGTATTAGAAGGCAAATTCAAAAGTAGAGAAAAGAGAAATAGTTCTCCAGGAGCCGAGTTGATATGGGAATAATATTTTATGTATATGTTTCTAGATGGGTGACTGAGGGAAATTAATTTCTCTGACATGAAAATTAATACTTTTAGTTGAGTTGGAATTATAATTTTTGTAAGAAGATATATTATTATGTTTAAAGAAACTATAAAAGTTATTCACTTGAAATCTCTACTATAAGCTTAAGTCTCCTTTAAGTTTTCTCCATCAAGGAACAACTACTGTATATTTGAATAGCAGTATAGCTTCATAGATGTGGGAGCCAGCTATGACATTGAATAGTCCTGGCATTCCTTTTACTACCTGCATGAATTTAAGCAAGTTCCTTAATTTCTCTGTACTTCAGTTTTCTCATCTATAAATTTAGGATACATAATGCACCTGGAACAGTGTCCAGCATATACTGGATGCTTAGCAATAGGTAGCTCTTACCTTTATTATATTCTTATATTATTGCCTACATCTTCAGGGGAAGTTCATTTCTATCTAGAAGGATCAGAGGTTATCTATTGTTTCATTTTGGTTGGCTTTTTTTTAATGGTAATGATAGGAGTTCATTTCTGGTGATAGCAGAGTGGCTTTTATTGAACTACCATTTGCCAATAACGATTTTGAACTGTGGTCGAGAAAACAGTGCAAAGAATCATAAAATCAGAATTAAAATGATTATTTGAATGACAATTGTTTATTTTATTTTTAGTCATCCCTGGGGAATAACTAAATATAGGCAGAAACCAGAGGAATGGTGATTCTTGAAATATGGAAACAAACTAGGTGAGGTCCACATTTAAACAGCCTTTTCTCTGAGGACACACCTCATCTTGCAAAATACATAAGGGACAATGAGGCTGAATGACTGGACTGAGGATTCAGAAGTCAGAGTGCAAGTCTGCCAGAGTAGTTAGAAATTAAGGAGGGGAGGTTTCAACAAGGAGGGAAACAGTGTGGGGAGCCCTAAAATCTGTGCACAAATTCTCTTAGAACTGTTGGCTGACTACCAAACTATATATGCACATGATGAGACTCCAGAGAATCCAGTGGAAAGTCATAGCTGCAAGGCTAAATAACTGAGCCTCAGAGATTTCAACAGATGTGTGGTACTGGAGAGACAAATTTTGGAATTCAAGTTCAGTCAAGGAAAAGGACTTATTAAATTCTTTGTACTTTTCATTAAAACTCTAGGAGGGTAATACCTTAACAATAAGGATTTTAGAAACAAGGACTACACATGAGGTCTACCAGCAAAGCACAAATAAGCCCAACCATCAAGTCTCCATGAGATAAAAGTGGTTGTCAGTAATTTAACTTTATGTTACAATAAAACTCAACAATGTTGCCCACAATGTACAGTAAATAATTAAAAATTACTTTATATACAAAGAAGCAGGAAAATATCATCCACAATCTAGGGAAAAAACAGTCGACAGATTTCCAGAAGTCCCACATGTTAGAATTAGCAGATTGAGACTTTAAAATAACTATAATATACATGTAACAATCTATTGAAAAATATTTATATAATGAATAAAGAGATGGGGGGTATCAGGATAGATATGGAAATAGAAAAAGAACCAAATGAAAATCCTGAAACTAGAAAAATATATCTGAAATTTAAAAATCTATTGAATGGACTTAGCAAATTAGGTGTCACAGAATTAAAAAAACAAACTTGTGGACAGATCATTAGAAATTATTTAACTACTGATCTTAGCACTGAGGAAAAAATGATTTTCAAATGATTAAGCACTGAGAAAAAAATGATTTTCAAAAATTTCAGAGCTATGGTGGCCTATGTGACAACATCATGTTTCAAAATGTGCGAAATTGAAGTCTATGATAGGAAGGAAAGATGGGAAAGAGTCCCAAATAGGAAGGAATTGATGTCCTAGATAGGAAGGAAAGAGTCTTTTGAAAAAAAGGATAGCAAACGTTTTTTTCAAATTTGATTTAAAATGTTAGCCACCTGTAGATTTAGGAAGTTCAGTGAACTCCAAGCAAGATAAATAAAAAGAAAACCACACCCAAGCAAATCATAGTCACAGTTCTGAAAACCAAAAATAGGAAAAACATCTTACAATGAACCAGAAGAAAAAACACAAAGTCCTAAGGAAGGGGACAGTAAGAACAAAGGCTGACTTCTCATCAGAAACATTGGAGACCAAGTGATAATGGGTTGCTTTCTTAAAAGTGCTGAAAGGAAAAAAAAAGTGAGCCTATCTAGATGACCTACATTAGACTTACATTTAACCATATTATTAATTATATTAAGTGTAAATGGACCAAAACTTTCATTTAAAAGCAGAGATTGTTCTTTTAACTAAAATACACCAACAGATTGAAAATAGAAGAATGGACAAGTGGAGACCATGTAAACACTGAACATAAGAAAGCTGGTGTCACTATATCATCATTAAGGTATATTTCAAATATGGATACTGCCAAAGGTGAAATAAAATATTTTATAATGATAAAAGCATTACTTCTTTAAGATGACATAGTTCTAAATGTGTTTGCCTTTAATGATAAGAGAGTTTATTTTCTAAACATCTGGTATAGTAATTCCCTTTAAGAACAGAAGTGCCTTGATTAGAAAGGTGTTTTGATAAGTCTATTGGAGTAGGTGGTCTCTATAAGCCATTGATGTGGGCTAGCTTTGATGCTTCAGAAGAGCGGGTAAAATTACTTGAGATAGGAGATAGGGCCACAAATATTCACAGTTTTTCCAGAACTGAGATAGACTTCCAGTGCAAAATCTGGGACTACCCCCAAACTGAGACAGCTCCAGGTAAACTTGAATGGCTGCCTATCCTACAAAGAGAGGAATTTATTTGCTCTGGAAATTGGAGAAATAAAAGGGAAAGAGAAGAAAAGAATGGATAGCCATCAGATGGCAGAAGGTTGTACAGTGAATGAAGTGACCCATTACAATGATCCCTAAAACATTAAGTAAAATGACTAAACTCAAAAATTATAGTTGTAAAATGTGTTTGTATATTTGAGAAGCTAGTGATGACATAGAATGGCTGAAAAGTAGCATGTGGTATTGCTGGAGCAAGGACCATGAGAACATAAGTTTTGGGGAATTTGTAGGAATCATGGGAATAGTTTTAGACTGTCGTAGGTTATGAAATGGGAGGTCTGAGTCAAGCTTGGGTATATTAATGGCAAAAAAGAGCTGAGATTATCTCTGGATCTTCTAACTGTATTAGTTAAGAATGATTTGGTTTTAGATCATAGAAAATCTGCCTTTAACTGGGTCATACACTAAAGAAAATTTATTTGTTCCTGTAACTGAAAATTCCAGAGGTAAGGTGGGCTTCTGGCTTGACTCAATCCAGAGGTTCATGATTCACATCTGAGCTCTCACTCATTTCTCTGCAGGTGTCTCAGCAGCCCTCTTCCTTGTGACATTTCATCTTTACTCTGGTTTTCCTATTGGTAGCAGCAGTGGCCATAGGAATTCCAAGACACATCCTCACACGATATCAGGGGTATTCAAACTTTTTCTATAAAGGGTGAATTAGTAAATCTTCTAGCTTTGTGTTTCTATTGCAAATAGTCAACTCTGCCATTGCAGTGCAAAAGCAAGCCATACACAACAGATAAACAAAAGGCATAGGTGGGTTCCAATAAAACTTTTAAAAATCAATTTGAATTTCTTATAATTTTCATGCATCATGAAATATTATTTGCATTTTTCTCCCTACCATAAAAAAAATGAAACCATTCTTATAAGTCTTAGCTCAGGAACCGAACAAAAACCAGGCAATGGTCCAAATATAACCTGGGGCTATGATTTGCTGACCCAAGACTTAAAAGATTACCTGACTACAGTGTTAATCAAAAAATTTGCTCCTCCAGGGCATATGTTCTCTTTGTCTTCTCCATACTCTCACTCAAGATAACCCTATCCAGTACCATTTGTATTACAAAATCTTGCAGTCTTTTATCTCCAAGGCAGAGTGCTCTCCTATCTCCAGATTCCTGTAGCCACCTGCCTACTTAACGTCTCCATTTAGAAGTTTAATAGAATTTTAGACTTAACATGATCAAAATCCTGTAGGGAACTCTGCTTTCTTAAAATGTGTCCAGCTCCAAGCAGCCAGCAGGGGCACATTGACACTCCCATGGAATTGATCTCAATTCCACAGGATGGAATTTCAACATTCTTTACATTTCTAACATGAATACAGTGTGTCGAAAGACCAAATTCTAACAAAGTTAGTTATAGATCTAGTTGGCTCTTATTTGCAATTCATGAATCAGGAACAGCCTCTATTCTGCAGAACAGAAATGATAGCTCCTTCTGGACAATGGCACAACAGTGGGTTTTGTAAGGTGGGAAGAAGAAAACAAGAATAGAAAAAGAAACCCTGATTGGTTAATATCAGGTTACTTTTTTGTAAGAGTTAAAGCAGAGGGACTTCCTTATTACACTCACTAAGATAAACTGGAATCTTCTGTTTTCAGAAAAAACTTCTGTTTTGGGATCGCTGCTTTTTTAAAGTTTCAGTCTGATGATGTGGCATTCAGCATGAGTGACGCCATTTTGGTTTGGTCAGGTCTGTTGGGAACTAGCGCAGAAGCATCATTTTTGTTTAATAGGTGAAGTGAAATAAAGTATGTGCTTCCTGAAGTGAGGAAAATTATATGAAATTTAAAGTATTACTCTTTTTTCCTCCTCTAGGGATGGTAAAACTGAGAAATAAATCAAGAGTGTGACAACAGACTGAAGAATTTTTCAGCAATATCTGTCGGCCTTTGGAAATTTGGTGAGAAGTAGTCATGATTCAATGTCTTGCTTGCACAGAAGCCTCCAGTTCAAACTTAGATCTTGCCCCATCTGATTACTTATGATATATACAAATACTCTAAATATTGCTTTGAGATTTTGCTGTTGCTCAACCGGCCTCCTGCAGCCTCAAAGGTGTTTTAGCTTCCGGTACAACAGTTTAACTAACTACTCTCTTCTCTGTGACTTCCAAGACTATGTAACTCCTCAGCTTGCTCTCAATTTGTTCAGCTGACCTATTTCTTTATCAGGTTGTTTTAGCTTCCCTACTCTCTCCTGTGTTTTGAAAAGAATAAATTCTCAAGTAAATTAAAACTACATTCTGATAAAAATGAGCATGCATGTGTATTTAGTCCTTCATTTATTCAGTTGCATTTTGGGGGCTTTGCTCTATAGTAGACACAATTCCAGGCTCTAAAAAACACAAAGATCCTTAAGCTGTGGCCCAGCCCTTAAGATGCTGATAGTATGTCAAAGGCAACAAAAGAGTAAACTTAAAATTCACAATACAACAATGCAAATAGATGTTAAAATGAAGCCTCCACAAAATATTTTGGGAAGACATGGAAATACTAAGGATTCGCAGAGGAGATGATGCAGTAACTATAATGGGGGTGGGGGGAGAGGGAAGAAAGACAGAAACAAGAATCCCTAGTCCAAGATATTTGTTAGTTGAGCCACAAGATGATTACTTGGGAAGAAATATTGAAAAGATGTATTGGGTAGATGAAATACCTACCGAGACCATAAATGACGAGAATTGCCTCTTATAGCATATGAGAAGATAATTTTTATCAGATAATGGAATTGTTTTCAGTCTTCAGAATGAAAATGAATCCCTTGCTAATGCAGATCATGCTAATAAAGGAAGTAAAAGAGAATCTTTGAATTATACTTGGCTCATGATAGGCAGAAACCAACCTAAATAGCCTAGGAAAAAAAAGAAAGATAATAAAGTAATCAAAATAATTGCTGAATAGGGAATGTGAAAGATCTGCAATGTTAAATTATAAATGTACATTTTCAAGAAAAATGAGGTGACCTTAAGGAATAGATTAGAAACCCACACTTACGCCAGTTAGAAGCAATGCTTTTCATTAGCGAAGCTCAGGATTAATTAAATCTGAGGAAATCCTTTGAAATCCACAAGTGTGAGTTACACTAGAATACGATACAGCTGGTATATTGGTATCATAATTAATGATTAGCATAGACTTCTTTATTAAATGCATGTGGAGTAGTTCACGTGACAAATGTGAATGAGGAGGATGAAAACAGGTTACTTAAAACCAAAATTGTCTTAGTAGTATCTGCTTTCAAAAGTGTGGGAGTGGAAGGTTGGTTTATCTATGCTCCCCTCCCACTCTGATTGCCTAAAGACCCATCCCAAGCATAATGTGGGGCATCTTGCCCCCTTACTAACCTCCCGAGGAAGCTGAGAGGGTGAAGGAGGGAAGTGGCTTATCCATTATTTTTCCATTATCTCTGAATGTTTTGCTTCAGCTGGTAGCAGAGAAAGGAGAAAGAGGCTGAAGTTGCAAAGCCTCTAACAGTTCTTAATCCTGCTCAAGGGTGAAGGTTTGGACGAAATGGTCATTATTGACAGAGCACCTTATCTATAGGTAAGTGGAGGTGAGCAAGTGGGAGGTGGTAGTCTAAATTGTTTTAAAGGACAAGGTAAAGGGAAATTAATTTATTGGGGAGACCCATGGAAAAGGTCAGTGGAAAAAGGAAGACCCTGGAAGGAAAATAGATGAGAAGCAACAGAGAGGCTTAAAGCCCCCTTCCTCTGCTACACACAGATGCCTTCTGTGAGAAACAGACACATGGCTGGTCCACGTTTAGGGTGAGTCAGGGAAGAGCCAGAGTGAGGAAGGATGATCCATAAACTGAACCAACTGAGGGTCCTAGAGGCTCTGGTTAAAGGGGGTATAAGAATGCTAAACCACATTTTAATCCCAGAGTGTTGGAATGACATAGGGCATGCAGTAGGCAGAAATCAACCTGCAGAGTCTGGTGGGGAACGCGGGTGACAGTGATCCTGCTGTGTGCTGGATGGCACTGCAGCCAAGTCTACTCCTCAATGATGGGGTCACTCACCCAATATTGCATACTGATACATGGTTTTCAATTTTGGCATGGCTGTTACTTTAGTGTGACGTGTAGATTTTAAGTATGAGTTTGGTTATGCTGCATAAAGACCATTTAGAGATGCTGTTCTCAGAGCAAACACCAAAGTACCTTATCAAAATTCTACGACTTCCAAAGATTCTATTCTGAAAATCTTTGCAGAAGACAGGAATAGAAACATATATTTTTCAAATGCAATAGGAAGTTCTTTTCTGACAACTAGAATGGAAATTTGCATAGTGATTTCATTTGTTTAAATATTTTATTTTTCTCACTATTGTCTTTTCCCTCTCACCTGTTATGTTACTCCAGCTGCCACCTTTGGACAAGCTCTGTCAAATCTCCCTCCTCTACTGTAGATGTTTTCTTGCCAGGTTTCTCATAACGTTTTCCAGTCACTTTCAACATATGAACAAGTCCCATTTTGGGAGTTGAGATTTACTTCAAAGTATTATGAGATCCAGTCCAGTATAAATCAAAATTTCATTCTTATACCCAAATCAAAGATTTTTTCCACCTCATTTGTGAGGCCTAGGAGGACACAAGCCACATGAGATAAGGGTAAAAGTCTCACATGACTTATGCCCTTAGAGTGGCTTGTGCCCTCTGAGTGGCCCCCAGATATAGATCTCTCAGATGCCCTTTCCCTGGTTTCCATCACACTCCTAGGTGCCTCCCAACCAGTGGTCCTGGGAGAGCCAGGGAGAATCTTTGGGTCCATCTGAAACTGTGCTGGGACACAGCCATGTCTCCTGATAGAACAGTGTACTTCCAGCTGACCTCCTGTAATCCCTTCTCAGCTTCTACATCCCTGCCCTGTGATAGACCCATAGCCTCTTACTGTGGGGTCCCCTAGTTCCAGAAGGCTGCCCTCTTGAGTGAGATTCCTTCAAGATGCTCAGAGCTGGTGTCCCTTCTGTGGCAACCTATCTCAACAAACACCAAGTGAGCAGGTTGCCCACACCACTGCCTTCTGTCCTTGCCCTGGGCAGCCTTTTACCTTCAGAATTCTGCAGGCAGGAAGCACACAATCCATGTTCACATACAGCCTCAACCTCAAGATATAAAAATCCTTCTTCCCAGCATCTCTGCCAACACCTGATGGCCCCAGATGAAGCTGACAAGTGACTACAGTCTTCCCTATTGCCAGCACTCTGATCTCTACTGTGCTACTCTCTAGAGACCTAAATTTTGCAGAGAGAACACTCTTCTCCATCACCCCCAACCCATGAAGAGAGAAGAGAAGAACAAAAAGCCGTAGCACTCCACTCCCAACAAATTCCCTTGTTAAATGAACTCTCATTTGCTTGCATAGGATGTGTGGGGTGGCAGGAATGAGTGAGGTGGGAGGGCTCATATGCCATTTTTTGGCAAGTGTTGGAAGTAGGTGATGGGAAGCTCTTTTTCTGCATTGTTTAGAGTGGGAATGGAATAGAATGTGATTAACCACTAGTCTCATCTTTGGGGCTTAGTAAAAATTCTGAGAATAAATTCCATTGCACATCATTTTATAATCATATATCTGATAGACCCTAAAGGTGACTCATTTTAAATACAGAGAATGTTAGGTATAAAACAGTTTGCAGATCATTGCACAGTCTTTAAAGTGTGAGTGCTAGAGATCAGAGATTCTGCCTCTCATCTGTTCAAGTCTCTTTGATGTACATGTTGTGAGGACCATGAACAAGGTAGGTATGGCCCCTGCCTCCTTAGAATTTATACTATCAGGAAGGACCATGAACAAGGTAGGTATGGCCCCTGCCTCCTTAGAATTTATACTATCAGGAAGGACCATGAACAAGGTAGGTATGGCCCCTGCCTCCTTAGAATTTATACTATCAGGAATGACTGCTAATAAATACACAATTACAATAAAGGGTAATAGCGCTTTGATAGAAGAATCACAGCACAAACTGGGAGCTCCTAACTTAGGGTGAAAGATTAGCATGCATGATGAATCACCTTGACTCTTGTGTCAAATACAGATCCTAGTTTGCCACCTCAGGTTCTCTCAGTCTTTACCCTGGACTGTGCTGCCAATGCCAGGGTCCCACCACCCAGTGGCCCTAAGAGTGCCAGGCTCTCCCTCTTGGCCTCTGCCACTCAGCTAGAGATTGCAGCTCTTTGTGGTAACCAAGAAATGCACCACTCAGATCTCAGGCTGAGGGGAATGGAAGTGACGTGACCCCAGCTTCTGCATTCCGAAACCCCCACTGTACGAGTGCTGATGCCTGCTTTCCCAGACTGTGCCCAGCCAGGGACTAAGTGATGCAGGGATAGCAAAGCAGACCCGTATCTGTGATATTTGGAACCCTTCTATGAGGTGACTTGGGCACTAGGATTACCCATCAGCCTGGGGAAGCCTAGTGGCCCAGGGAACTTCCTTCCCTGTTTTTATTGTGGTTTGACATTCCCTGCTTTCTCAAGTTCTTTCCCCCTTCTCCCTTGTGGTTGTTTCACCAAGTAAATGTCTTCGATATGTAATCTGGTATTTTTTGTTTTTTTGAGAAGGGGTCTTGCTCTGTCACCCAAGCTGGAATGCAGTGGTGCCATCACAGCTCACTGCAGCCTCAAACTCCTGGGCTCTATTGATCCTCCTACCTCAGCCTCTCAAGTAGCTGGGACTACAGGCATGCACCACAATGCTAGGCTAAGTTTTTGTGTTTTTTGTAGAGATGGAGTTTGCCTAGGCTGGTCTTGAATACCTGGGCTCAACTCAATCTGCCTGCCTCGGCCTCCTAAAATGCTGGGATTATAGGCGTGAGCTATGGTGCTAGGCCTCTAATTCAGTCTTGCTGTCTGCTTCTCAGAGGACCCAAACCAACGTATTTTACCACTCACTTTTGGAACACTTGTATGGAAAGAAAAAAAAAAAACCATTTCTTCTATCCTATGTTCTCCAAGGGCTCAGGCTCTGCAAATTAGACTGACAAAAGACAGAATAACAAGAGAAAAATAACAAAGTTCATTAATGCATGTAGGGTGAATACATATAGAAGAAACAGTGCTGAGTCACTGAAAGATTGCGGAGGCAAAAACAACTGCATCTTGGATGCTAATCTGCCACGTTCACTTCTGATTAATCCCAGTTCCTCGAAGGCCTATAAGATTTCTAGTTTATCTATTGTCCCTTGTGTTACTTTGTCCTTAGGTCAGACAACCTTAATGTTATCACATTTCAATTGTCCCAAATGTCATCCCTTCA